ATAATAAATATATAAATAATAAATATATAATAAATATAATAAAAAATAGCAAAATTAAATTTTGCTTTATAACAAGTTTTAAATGCAAATACCTGCTTTAAAAGCAGTTCATGTGGGGTACTTGATTTTATGGTCTTAATCCACCTGAGCTCTGCTTTTACAGCAGGGTTGGACATGGAAATATTTCCTGGAAATATTCAGAATAAACATAAATACAAGAAATATCAAGCTATTTGTGGATAGTTCAGTGAAGATGAATGATGACATTTGCTGGCCCATTGATGTTGCAAACAAGTGACTCCTGCCCAGGGTCTCAGAAGGAGCAGGAAGAACTTCCAGGGTCTCATTTTGCTCTCACTTTTACACTGATGCAAACCTCATCTGAGCAACAGAAAAACTGGAATAATCCCAGACATCCATCAAGGAGTAAGTGCTGCTGGAAGGACTGGCAGCATCTGCCTGGGAGAATTTCAAACCTCAGTTTTCACCTGGTGCTTGGGGCTGGAGCCTGCTCAGCTTTGGTCAAAGAGAAATTCTGGCTGCTGAAGAAATGCTGAATAAAGACCTCAAGTGCCAGAGCTGTCAGCAGATCTGAGCAGTTTTACCTTTCCACATGCAGGCATCCTGCTGACTCATTTCCTTAATCACCTCTAAAATTCACAGCGAGTTTGAAAATTCTCTTTCCTGAGGAGGCCATCAAAACACAGATTTATCATAGCAGAGTGTCAGGGAAACTAAAGCAGCCCAACAAATACAGGTAGGAAATTGTTTTTCATTGTTTCCTCTGTTCTGCTGCTGCAGAAAGTTTAAAAAATTCCTGGACTTGGGATGGACTGAAGAGAGGTGCTTTAAAATAGGCAGACTACTGAAAGAGCTTACTTAAAAAAAACAAGGAAAATTGGAATTTTAGATTAAAATAAAGCAAGGAAAATCTAGGCTTGAGTCTGCATCAGTGTGAATTAAAGTCCAAAACCTTCTATTCATTATAGTCACATGTGCAGCTGAAGATTTTATAACATTCCTGCAGGATCTGTTTACGTTTTATGCTCATATAAATGAAGTGAAATTTACTTTATAAAACATTTACAGGCTGTTTTTTAGGAACCATCAGGCTCATTAGCCAGGTGAATTTGTCTTGGGTTTGGCCAACAAACTGTTTGAGCAGCAGAGAACCACGGGCCAGCTGTCCGGGAGCCAACAGCCAGATGGAGATGGAGGCTCAGGAATTGCAATTCCAGCCTGGAGGGGTGTCAGGACACAGGGAAAAGGCTGAGCACGAGCACTGCTGGGGATTTCCATGTTTTTTCTGGGATGGAACCCCCTGTTCCCCCCCATCCCACATCTCCTGCTCAGGGTGGGCTCGGCGCCGCGCGGAGCCGGGAGCAGATCCTGGAGCAGGTCCTGGAGGGGCTGGAAGTGCTCAGCTCCTGCCAGAACCTCTCCACGCTCTGCAAACACAAAGCTCAGCCTGACAGAAGGGAAATATAATTAGGCTGAGGAAGAAAGGCAAGGAGAGGAAGGAGGGCTCTGCTACCGAGGGGTTAGAAAAATTCCAAAGGCCTCCAAGCACCAAGCTCAAAAGCGTGAGAGGAAGTCTGAGGCAGATTATTCCTCCCTTTTGTAAGGCAAATGACTAATTATACAAAGCAAGATGTTCTGTTTCCGAAGAGATTTGGGAGGTATCATGTAATATTGATACAGAAATTGTATTTAATGCAGGTTTACAAGGCGAGAGGTAGAAGGAAATGTAAATGCAAACATGGTGTTTTATCCTGATTCTCCCTGAGGCTCTTCCCTCTGTCAGAAAACTGCCTCAGTGCTGGGAGTCTCCTGTGAAACAGCAAAATTCTTCCAACTGGAGGCAGCTTTAGGCTTCCAAGTGTGTGTCCAGAAAGGGAAAGAAGCTGTGAGCTTAATCCAACTGAATTTCCATTGTTGTGTGCTGTTGCTATTTGTTTTACTCATTTTTACTTCAAAGGAAGAAACACAAAATCCCTGTTAGAGGGAGCTGGATCAATAGTGAGAAATTCCTTGTCAGACGAAATAAGAACAATCATTAACCTTGGTGCTTAGGAATGAAATGCAAACTCCACTTTTCCACTCGCCTCTCCCGCAGCACCCCCTGCAAACTTCCCTCATTTTGCTCTTTAATTAAAGCCCTGCTCAGCCACCCAAACAAGGATTGTTACAAATAAGCTTGGAGCTCTCTTCCTTCTGTTTGGGTGGGAAAAAAGGAGGATTTGTTTGATGTGGATCAGGTATTCTGGTGATAGGGACCCTCCAGGCTGCTTCCTTAGGCATGGATTTGTGGATTATGGATATCATTTATAGCCCTGATGTCTCTTGGAGCAGCAGGTGGAGGAAGCTGATGGGCAACCCCAGCACTGGTCCAGGTGTGGGGTCCCCTGGCCAAATTCCAGCCCACTTCAGTCACCCAGCTCGGGTTCCCAGCACAGGCAGGAGCTGGAGCTGCTGGAGAGGGTCCAGAGGAGGCTCCAGGAGGAGCAGAGGGATGGAGCAGCTCTGCTGGGAGAGCTGGGATTGCTCACCTGGACAGGAGAAGCTTTGGGATGAGCTCAGTGTGGCCTGGAGGAGCTGCAGGAAAGATGGAGAAGCTTTGGCCAGGGATGGAGGGACAGAACACAGGGAATGGCTTCAAACTGGCACAGGGCAGGGTTGGATGGGATATTGGGAAGAATATCTACAGAGACAGTCAATGTCACTGTCCAACAAAATCAAAACCAAATTTCTAAAATTATTGTGAAGTTTTTAATCTCTGAAAATCATCAGCAGTTTCAAGTTCCAGTTGGAATTTATGTGCACATGTAATTAATTATATTTGCTGTTACTTGTGCAGTGTTAAAAGGCTTTAGGGACAGAAGAGATTTGAAGCAGGAGATGTTGAAATAGTGTGGAACTATTTATACATTTGTATTTACAAAATCTTCTCCCCACAGCTTTGTTTTGCTGGAGTCCTCAGACATGTTCCTGTGCACAGGAGGGAAACTTTTAATCTGCAGATCAAATTTCTACAAGAGGTACAAAGCTGTGCTGCAAGTGTTTGTTTGATTTCTTGTTTCCTTTCCTTACACTAATGCTGCTTCCCAGCTGGACCCTTCCATCCATCCTTGTTGTGGCACTGAGCAAGAGGATATTGATGCATTCCTAGAAAACAGAAATATTTTTGCCTCTTGCCTGATCGATGGAATTCCTTAACATTTTATTCTGGCCTTCTGAATTTCAGGGAGTTTGGTGCTTGCTAAGAATTTTGGCTGCTTTATGGCCTATGAAGGACTTTGCTGAGTTCTGCAGAATTAATGCTTCACCCTCAGCTCTCCACATCAGCTGAAAACCCCACTCACATTTGCCTACAGAAGCTTTGGTGTTCAGCAGAGAGTGGATTTTGGTGCTTTTTATTCCTCTTCTTAATTTCCTGTTGCTTTTTTAATTTCTTCTGTCTGTCCCTAGAGATGCCGTGGGCAAGCAGGGAGTGGAGGCTGCTGCTGGTTAATGGCTGAGCCAGGACATATTTCATATTTGTTGCAAAGCTCTTACAGGCACAAAAAAATTGGCTGTACTGAAAGGCATCTACCTAAAAATCATTTGCTCAATTTCTTTCAAACTATTGGTGCCTTTTTTGGTTTGGATGGATGGAAATCTGTGTGGCCAGTTCTGCTTCTGGGAGCACTGTGCCATTTCTGCCAGTCCCTGAAGTGAGTTTAGGTTTCACCAGGAGATTATTTCAAACGGGAGATGCAGGAAAGATCTTGTCTGGAAGCCAAGATGATTTTAATCATCTCGAAACTGATGGGAGAACTAAGCGAAGGTACCTGCTCAATCTCCCAATCCTTCCACCAGACGCCACAAAATTGAATTAATCACAGACAGAGGTGTTAAATGACACATAAACCTGTGGCAGCACCGTGAGGAGACACCCGGCCGCGGAAATCCTCCAAGAGCCGGCGGGACAGCCCTGCCGGGGATCCCGGCGATTTGGGGAAAGCTGTTCCCTCCTGCCTGCAGGGTGTCCTGCCCCAATCCCAAACAGCTCCGTGTCCTGGGAGGCTCCGGCAGGTGCAGGTGCTGCTTTCCAGGGAGGCTGCAGCTCCCTCCCATCCTCCTCCTCCTCCTCCTCCTCCTCCTGGAAATCGGGGATGCTGCGATGCTCCGGCGCTTGCCCCCGGGCTTTGCAGCCGCTCCACAAGTGCCGGGGAGCACGGGAGTGTGTGTGAGCAGGGGGCGATGCCCAGGGGAGGGGTCCTGGCCATGAAACCTGGAGCAGCCCCCGCTAGCTGAGAGCTGGGCAGGTTGGCTGTGACATAAGTGCTGCGGGAGGGGGAGACACACAGACAGACACACAGAGACAGACACACAGAGACACACAGACACACAGACACACAGACACAGACAGAAGGACACCCTGCAGCTCCTGCCCGTGCTCGCAGAGGCAGCTCTGGGGGAAGCTCCCACCTCTCTCCTCTCATCCCGGATCTCCAGCTCCAATTGCCGGCGGTCACGGCAGCGCCACATGGGTTTATTTCTCCGCGACCTCTCGTTTCTCTCTCTCAGCAATAATTCACCTGAGGGGTTTTTTTCCCCCCACCTCCCTTTCTCACGCTCTTTTTTGATGCGGAGAGAGGGGAGAAAAGGGCGTTCTGGACAGAGCGTATTTCTCCGGGCAGCTTTTTGCGGCGCGTTTTAAAGAGCTCGCCGGAGGAGCCGGGGAGAGAAGGAAAGAGAGAAGAAAAGAAAGAGGAGGAGACAAAANGGGCAGGGCAGGGCAGGCTGGGCCCGGGGGGGCTCCGGGGGCTCCCCCTTGGCCCCGGAGAAGCGCGGACCGAGCCCGGGGACCGAGCGCTCGGTGCCACCGCTGGGGCGGCATCGGCCCGAGGGGCTCGGGGCTCTCAGCCCGGGCGGGGTTTGGACTGTTGGTGCCGCTTTTGAGAGGGGGAGGAGAGCGAATTCTGCGGGAAAAGCCCTGAACTTTCCCAGCAGCATCAATGTGCGGCTCCTCTCAGCTGAGCAGCGATGCTGGTGTGCGGGTACCTGCACACGCTTTCATCCCAGCTCCCGTCCTGGGCACAAAGCCCTTGACACAGAGGGTTCTTCTTGTTCTGCAGCCTGCTGTAGCCAGCAGTAAATGGTGGTGCCAGCTGCAGCCAGATGTGCCAGGCAGCTCAGGGTAAATAACCCTAAAGGGTTAAATAACCCTAAAACCCCATGGACAATCCCACAGGCTTCCGAGGGCTGTGCCTGGAAAGATCAATTAAAAATAAAGCATAATTAGGTGGAAAGAGAGCAAAATGCTGTCATTACAGAGGCTGTTTAGCATATGGGTGATGCACTCATCTCGTATGTTCCCCTCTGTCACTTCTCTCTGCTTAATTAAACCCAAATTATTATTAGCGCTGGTTAAAAGAACGGAAGGCTCCCAGCCAGGCTTTGCTGGGATGTGCCAGCAGCTGGGAGCACTGGGAATGGCTCGTGCTGTGCTCCTCACTCACACCTGGCTCTTTGGGAAGGCACTGTTGGCTTGGCCATTGCTTTTCAGCCCAAAAAATGTGTGCCACTCCCAGAATTGGTGTTTTCGTGTCCTTTCTGGGGGAATGACCAACAAAAATGCCTTTTAAAAAACAGGTATGGAATAAAGGACTTGAGGGTATGGTATAGCAGCAAAGTAAGAAATAATTCCCCTCTTAGTTTATTTGTAGTAAAGTTGTCCTATAAATACAACTAAATACCCATTTTATGAGTTATTCCAAAGTAATTGAGAGAAAATGAATAAACCAGTTTAGATGCAGATTAAAATGTTTCCATTGGTGAACGGTTTCTAAAGTTAACAATCTGTATTTTCCTTTAGCACTCACCACCTGCACTAATCCCCATGCTGTATTTTTCTGTTTGTAGATCCTTGTAAATGTGGGCAATTTTTTCACGTTGGAGTCTGTCTTTGTAGCGCCACGGAAAGGAATTTACAGTTTCAATTTCCACGTAATTAAAGTCTACCAGAGTCAAACAATTCAGGTATGTTGATTATAAAATCTTTATTTAAATTGCTCATTTAGGATAGAATATTGACTGAGCACGAGAGCACTTAAAGGAAAAATAGCTTCATTTACAGCAACCTGTGGTGTTGACTTCCTAGCAGTAGAGTCCATTAATTTAAAATGAACAGAAATAAGGCAGGAGCCTCACCACAGATAAATCACCACAACTTCACTTCCATGCCACGAATATCTGGGGTGACAAAGAACATTCCACAGAATGAATGATCCAAGAGTAAAAGAGAGCTCTGAATTTCACTTAGATGCTGCTGAAGAGTCGTGTTTTGCTCCAGGTTAAACTCACTGTGTGGAACACAGGAGTTCTGGGTACCAGATTTGAGTATTTTTGGAACAATTTGTGTCCTGGCATCTGGTGCCAGGTCCCTGGTGATGCCCTCAGTGTGCTGAGGACCAGGGTTGGTTATTTCCCTGCAGCAATGTCTTCTAGGGACCCTTCATAGCGATTTAAACTTCCTTTTTTCATCATATAATGTTTAAAAGGTGTGTGATATATTAGAGAAAAGGGGTAATTCTGCACTTTCTTCTGTAGCTCAGTAGCAACAGAGCTGCCTAATTAAATACAAGAGGGAAAAGCCTTTAAATTCCTGAACATCCCCTTGCTGAGCCAATTCCTTGAAGTAATTCCTTAATCTCCCTGCCAGGTCACGCAGTTGCTGTGACACCTCCTGGCTTGCCAGAGCTGCAGGAACATCTGTGGCTCCCCTGGTTTCCAGCACGAGAGCTCCAGCTTCTCTGAAGTGTCTGATGCTCTTCCCTGCTCTCTCCTGGCTGTGGTTTCCAGCCTGCCAGGCTGAGCTGAGCTGGATTTCTGCAGGAGGAGTGATCAGACATTGCTCTGTGGCTGCTCTGGGTTGCTGGTGAAGCTCCTGGGAGAAGTGGAGGTGGCAGAGAGCTGGTGAACACCACGATCCCATCTCTGGTGAAATTCCCCTGCAGTTTACAGAGGAAAATCCTAATTTCAGTCAGGTCAATGACACAGCCTTAAATGAAACATTGACCTGAAAATCTCTATAGTGAGTTTATAATCTGTTCAATGTGCTCAGAATGTGTTCTTTTCACTCTCTTGCATGCTGAAGGTTGAACAACTGTCTGTCAGCCACTTCAGTGGATTTAAAATGCCCATTGCCAGGAAAGGTGCCAAGCCTTGTGTTCTGGAAGTCCAGCTCAGACTCTGGCATTTCACAAACCAGCAGCTCACACCTGGGAATTTTGTGGCAGGGAATGTTGGCCCAAAATCCTTCATGGATAAGAGATCCTGAAGTGATGGAGGGGTTTGCTCGGCTCTGTTTTGGAAGGGTCAGTGTGAGCTCATCCCCTGCGAGCCTGTCATGTGTCTTGTGCTGTGACTGAATTCCTGTCAATGATTCCAGGGGAGCCTGAGGGAACAGAAAGAGTGAGAAACCCAAGGCAAGCAATGAGTAAAGCCTGGATGCCCTTTTTCTGTGGGGTAAATGGGGACGAGAACCAGAAACCATTGCACTGGTTTGTGTCTCAGCCCCACTAAATCACCTGCAGGCTTCCCACACAAGCCATGTTCCTCTGCCCCCACAACATCTGTTAGAGACATTAAATATCATTAAACTGCAATTGCTTCCCTGGAGACACCTGATTAAGTGGATTTCCCAGACAGGTGAATCCCAAATAAATCCCAGCCTCTGCTGCCCTGACTTCTGCTGAGCACTAATTTATTCTGTGGTGACTCCCATTAAAATTAATAGGACCATGTCCAGCACAGTGGATGTGGGTAAGAATCCCATAATTCACCCCCTGTGGCTGCATTAGAGCTGCTTGGGAAGGAAAAACAGCAAAGCTGATGGCTTTCCATGGGGGAAAGGAAAAATGCCTGGAGCTGCCCATTCCCCCAGGCCCTGCCCATCTTTATTCAGAGCTGCTGCTCCCAGAGCAGAGGCTGTGCTGCCTCGCAGGAGTTCTTTATAGAAAGAAAATGGAGTTGGTTTATAAAGCTAAAAATGTGTTCTAAACTCCAGAGCTAAGCTGCCATCAGTATTGAGAGGGACACACATTTTGTTCCCAGTGAAGTGGAAGCTCCCAGCCCACTGTGGTGCTTCTGACACCTCGTGTAACATCTCTGTGTGCCCAGATTTCTTGGAAATATATGTATTTTTTCTCCTTTGTGCCTAAATAACCCTTGAGATAAGCAAAGTGACACCAGCTGAGGTGATGCCTCACTCAGCTGCAGGTCCAGCTCATGAACATCCACGTGCCTATGCCAAATAAATGTCATTATTAGTTTAAAACAACCCAAAACACCAAAAGTTGGGCCCTTGCGCTGTGATTAATGTCCAGGTATGTTTTGCAGTTAATTAGAGCTTCTCAGGGGCTCTCTTGCAGGTGAATTTGATGCTGAATGGGAAGCCAGTGATCTCTGCCTTCGCTGGGGACAAGGACGTCACCCGTGAGGCCGCCACCAACGGGGTGCTGCTGTACCTGGACAAGGAGGACAAGGTTTACCTGAAGCTGGAGAAAGGAAATCTGGTGGGTGGATGGCAGTACTCGACATTCTCCGGCTTCCTGGTCTTCCCCCTGTAAAGTCACTTTTCCTGTGGCGTTCGTCCTCACCTCTGTTTCATGAAGATCATTTTGTCGTCATGGGAGTGATGATGGTTCTTTATTGCTTTCTCACGGGTGATTTTGGATTCTCTCCATGGATTTTGGCCCCATCTGAACTACTCAGAAATTCCACAGAATCCTGTGTGTTCAAATACGATATCTTTGGACTGAGACTAAAGCAGACAATAAATATCAATGCTGAAGGTTACCGTCCAAAGCCGCCTGCAAGATTTATTCCAATTTCATTTCCTGGACTTACCGGATCCGTGGAAGAAGTGGATTTTCTTTAACTGTGAAAAGACTGGCACCAAATCTTTGATGTAGGAGAGTCTGAGTTCAGACTTCAAGCACGAGTTAGTGTGTTGCTGCCAAAGAACATTGATGTGTTGATATATTGCTGATGTTTCTGTCCCGGGAGCGCACATTCCGCTCTCGTAGAGAGGTAATTCCTATTGCTAAGAGCCTGACTTGAGTTCTCCTCTGCCTGTTGTGTGTTGGATGGGTCACCCAGTATTTAATCACAATCAAGTCCAGCCTCCATCAGTCTGAGGGGTTGTGGGTGTGGGTTGGTTGGATGTGGAAGGGGTTCCTCTTTTCCACGGGCTGATTCCCAAGAGGAAAAGCAGATTATAACCATTCAGAGTTAAAGGTGGTCATTCAGGCACAACTTTGTTAAAACAACTTTGCCCTGCAGGACACCTCACACTTGTTCTTCAATTTTAATTAGCTGGATTGGTAATTACTGCTTTGTTCAACTCCTGAGGGATTCCTTCCTTAGACACAACCACTTTGTCAGCTGGAGATGGGATCTCCTTTGTTTGTATTTCTGTGTATTTTCCAGCCCTTCTGTTGTGTTAAAGGTCTGATCTGATTTTGCCTTAACTCCACAGGTGTAAAAAAATTCAGATCATTTGTTTAACAAATATGAAATCCAAATAACTGGGACCTAACTTGGTACAAAAGCTTCCCAGCTTTTTGTACAGGTCATGTGAATTCATAAACTTATTTATTATCTCGTTGTTCCATAATAAAGATTAACATACGTTAGCTGAACTTTTGCCCTTCGGATTTTGGGAGTCACTTCATACTATTTTTTTTAATTGGATATAATTATTATATGCAAAATAGAAACTCTTTGGGATTCACAGAAAATATCCAGGGAGGCAAAAAAACTGCCACGAGTAAGTGTGGCAGAATCCTGGAGATAATCAGAGTGATCAGAAATTAACCTATGCATTTTATTTAAAAATAAAATTTAGGCAGAAATGCTGGCCTCACTGAAGTTGGTGTTAAGAATCACATTGATTCCAAAGGATTTGGGATGAAACCTCTGCTCCAGGTTCTGCCATCAACATCAAACTCCAGAGCCATCAGATTGAATATTCAATAAAATTATTTTCACATGAGCTGCTAACGAAACCTTCATCCCTCGTGCCCCAAATACACGGAATTGATGGATCTTTGTGCCTTGAGTATCATGAAAGGTTTGGTTCTAAATGAAAAATTTCTGCCTGCTTGAAAATGTTTGTGGGTGGAAGCATCTGCAGCAATCTGGGAGCTTCCCTAAAAGCCACCTTGGGCTGGGATTTGCTGTTTTTGGGGTCTGTTTCCAACTCCTTCCCTTGCTGGCCAAGTGTGGTGTGTCCCATTGATGTTCCACTGATTGAAAATCTAATTCATGGCTGGTTGGTGCTCCTACAAAAACATCAGGGGATTGGTGGCACAGCTTTGTGCCCAAATTCCTGATTTTCCCTCACCCAGCACAGGGGTTTTTCAGGCTGTTTCAGGAGGATTGCTGGGTATTTTGCACCCCTGTAAATCAGAGAGGAGCTGATTTTTATCCCCACACAATTCTGTTCCTGTTCTGTTCCCACTGCAGTTGGGGAAGAAGTGGAAGGACCTGGCGAGAAGGTGAATGATTGACATGGCTGAAAAATCTGAAAAAGTCATGATGACCAATCAAAAAAATGTGTTACTGCTGTACCCCCAAAATGTGTGTGTATAAATATATGTATATCTAAACCGCCTGGGATTGCAGATCATCGTTTGCATGATGTTATAAAGAGGTTACTTGTCCTAAGAGCTTCTTTCAGATGGGAGCATTGGTATTTTGTATAAAATTGGTAAAATCCACCATCTCCCCCTGCCCATGGATATATCTGTAATGTAAAAGAAAAGAAAGAAAAATGGCATTAAAGGTGTCAGTATAATTTCTGAATGACCAAATGTATCTAACTTCTTGGATTTGTGAACAAATGATCTTTCAAGGCTGCTTTAGCATCCAGCAATAATCCCAAACTATCTCAATATTGCTTTGATTGCCCCTCAGCAAAACATTCCTGATTTCTTCAGTCATTAATACTTATTTAAACTTGAGCTGGAGAGACTGGGAAGTTATTCAGTGGAAGGATACATTTTGATGGAAAATGCTTCTAAAAGCAGAATTGATAATTAATTATTTTGGTGGTTAAAGGAAAGGTGTAAGTGGAGCTGCTGTCATCACAGGGGGCCTCTGGGGACAGGCAGGTCACACCTGAACATTTAAATAAGAACAAACTGTGGGGTTTAGACACAATTTGGGCCACCAGATCTTGCCCTCATTTTTATTGTGCTGTCCCACCTTGGCTGTGTCAGCAGGAGCTGCTCCCAGAAGAGAGAGGATGAGCCAGGCTGGAAAATAAAACTCCTTTTCCTTCTGCCTTCCCATGCCCTGCATTTCCTGTTGGGAAGCAACAGCTCAGGAGACACTTCCCTTTTTAAAGGGTGTTTAAGATTAGAGGTTGGATTGTTTTCAAAGAGCTTCAGCCCTGCACTGAGCTGCTCTGCAAAGGTTAGAAATGACTTTCTGATCCTCTGCAATTCCAGCAGGCTTTGGGGAGGGCACAATCCCTCCTGTGCTGCACAGGGTGAGGATCTATACCCACATCCTTTCCAGGGAACTCTGTACCTTACAAAGGCTGTGCATTTTTAGCCACATGTGGGAAGGACAAAAGAAAGAAGTTACTTTCTGAGAATTTATTTTATTATCAGTGATTTCTTAATGAACAAGATCAGGATTATTGCTTTTTTATCTGGTTTATTCATATTTTATCCATATTTTTTTTGTGAAAATAAGGGGAAAACCCCTCCCTATTTTCCTTTCTTTTACTCCTCAGTGATGTAAATTCTGTTGGTAGAGCCAGGTCTCCCTGCTCTCCTCTGTTCACCCAGTGCTGCTCTGTCTGTTGATCCTCTGTGCTGTGAGGAATTTGGGCTGCACAAGCCAAAAAACTGCAGAGCCCAAAAAAATCCTGTTCAAAAGAATTTGGTGGCAATAGTATTTCTGAAAAGGCACTGAGGTAACTTTGAAATGTTCACAAGCTCTTCTGTCTCTACATAAAAAGGAAAAACCAACTTTGAGTATTCCCTTTTTTTAAACAAGGCTTTATATGTGGTTTATGTTACATCATTTTCTAGCGGTGTCTGAACATTTTATGAGCATTAATTCAACCACTTTGGCCTTTTTATGGCTGAGCAAGGGTTGCAACCTACTGAGAAAATGGGGACAGGGTTTGGGAAATGATTCCCAGGTGCCAACACCTCCAGTCCTGCTCCGGTTCAGTTTGCTGGATCAATCTTTTCCTGAGATGTCTTTTAAATACAAAGGATGGTTCTGGAGTAAATGGAATTCTGCTGTGTTTTCCCCTCTCATATTATATCTGAATAGCATTCCTAGAAAGATGAATGCAGTGAAAGGGTTTGAAATGCCTGAGGAATTTCCCAGTTAGATGCCAGCTCTTTGTTTTAGCCCCCAGAGGAGCACATCTGCACACAGAGTATTTTTGCAAGCAGGTTTTGGAACAAAGAAATGCAAGGAGCTCTGTGTCCCAACCACACCAAGGAGCTGAGCCATTAATGTGAAATATGGGCTGAAGGAGACAGGAAAATGTTCTCCCCCTTTACACTCCTTTTACAGGGGGTTCTGAGTTGGGAACATCTTTTACCTCAGCAATTCATGTTGCCCTTTATATGGTAAGAGCTCTTTAAAATATTCAAACTCTTTGTCTTCTAAAGACAGCATCACCAGATAACTCAATGGAAATTCTGCCCAGGGACAGAATTTATTGGCTGGCACTTGCCACAACAACATTTTTTTTTGTTCTTTTGCTGTCCAGACAGAAAAGGCTCCTTTGGGAAAAGGAAATTGTCTTAGACACTCAGCTGAAGTTATTTCTCTGTTGCTGGTTGGGAATGGGGAGGGGAATAAAGCCCTTTTCTACCCTGAGGGGAATTAATATAAAGAATGATGATAAAATCAGTGCCTGTTATAGAATTGATGATGGGAATCGTGGGGAAGTGGCTGGAAGAGTCTGGTGCGAGCTGTGAGCTGTTCCATGGAGGTTGTGATCACTACTTTAATCCTCACACTTTGAGGGAAGGACAAAATTGCATCATTTTTAACAGGTCCTTCTCCTTCCCCTCTTCTCCCCCATTTTCCTTTTGCCTCGTGCTTCTTCTTTGCTGCAAAGGAACAAAGTAAAAATCCATCTGGAGCTGTCCTGGGGTCCTGTTTGGTGCAAAAACCCATGTGTGGGCTCCTATTTAGTTTTATTTCCAAATCTCTCTCTTTTATTTATTTCTTTATTTAACATAAAGCAAACGTTTTCCCACTTTCATCCCCTCGATTGATTTTCTGAAGCACACAAAACTGGTTGTTGAAAATCCTGCACAAGGATTTCATAAACTTGTTTTTATTTTATTTTTCACTTCAGAATTTCCATCTTTAATCTCACGGGGTGTGCTGATTTCCCTGCAGGGGGGATCAAACATTATGGATTTCTTCTGCTGATAAAATTCAGATCACATAAAGCTCACCTGGTTTAATGATTCCACCAGGGGCTCATGGCAGTGTTCAAGCTCAGTGAAATTTCCAGGCAGATTTTGGACACTTTAGGACCAGAATGTGGAAGAAAAGGCCCAGGTTTCACATAAAAGTTGATTTTCTTTGTGCCTAAAGCCCAGCTGCACCTTCACCCTCAATCGCTGCCTCATGGCATGATGCTGGTGGCCAGTTAATTTTATTTGTTTATTAAAGATTTCCATAAATTGTCATTCTGGTGGTTGTGAGACCCTCAGAACTGGCCAAGAAGTGTCACCAGTCCCTTCAAAGCTGGGGAAGAGGGACATTTCCCTTCTCTTCCCTTCCCTTTTAGACAAGCACAAATATTTAAAATCAATATTGATTTAAATGTATTGATTTTTTAAATAAATTGATAACCATTCATCAGTTATTGATACAGATAATACCAATTATTTGTATTGTTACAACAGCTCAGTTACACAATGCTACAAAATTTGGGTGATTTTTTGACCTTTTTTTTTTTTTTTTTCTGTATTTTTATTAATAAATCTCCCTGGGCACTGAAGGAAGACAATGAGGAGACCTTCAACAGAAGGAAAATGGAAAAAATTCCAGGATGCAGCTACAGGAATCAGAATCCAGGTGGGAGCACTCAGTGTAACCCAGATTTACAGCCAGAGCAGGAGAGAACCTGATCTCTTACAGGACACCTCATTCCTCATTTCATTGGGACAAATAAACTCTGGCTCATTTCTAGAAAGCCAGATAATGAAAACATTTGAAGAATGAATACCTAAAGCACAGGAATGCTGAGGAACATCAGGGCTGGGTAAGAAATGAATTCTCCAGCGGCATCGAGTGTTTTACTTTTTGTGGAGTGTTTAAATGGATTTCTACAAAAATAATAAAGGCTTCTGGAGGAGATAACTCCAAGCCCATCTATCTTTGTTGCCTTGAATTCAATAGTGGTTAAGTGAGATAGTCTGGGCTTATTCTGCTGCAAACACTGATTCAGTGGGCAGGATCCAGCTGTCAGCTCCTTTTTGTACAGGAATTATTTCCCTGAACGAGCAGGTTCAGGTTTTCATTTCATTTTCTTCAGGTCTCTGAGAGACAGCTGAGGGTTTACAGCTCTGATCACATAACAATGTCAGCAACAGGAAATGTGCTGAGTTTAAAAGTCTGACTTGCAGGCTGCAGCCCAAATCCCTGGGTTTTTAGGAGCTGGATTGAATATTCTGCACATCCATCGGGTGGAAAAGGCTTTTCTGTGCTCGTAGGAGCCTGGCTCAGACACGGGGGTGGCGTAAATGAGGTTTCCAGTAATGACAGCAGCCCAAGATTACAACTGTGAGCACCTCTAAACTCTGATGATTTGTCAAGAACTCACCCTGAAATGAGAAATTTCACTGATCTGAGGCTTTGCAGGGAAAGGCTGCTCAGCAGAGCAGGTCAAAATGCAGCAAACACATTTGATGGAGAAAAAAAGGCCGTGGCTCACAATATTTAATATATTTTTTTTTAGATGCAGGAAAAAAGAGCAAAGCCTGGTAATCAAAAGCACCTGCAAAAACTTGAAAAATAACATTCAAAACCTTGAAAAATACCATTCAAAAAGTCCCAGCAGGAACACATTGTTTAAACAGTAAATAAATCAATAACAGTTTGAGCAGGTTGTGCAACTTCAGGGGCAAACCAGGGGTGCCCATAAGCTGAGCTTTTTTTCTCTGTAGTAAATCTGAATTTAAGGTGCTCAAAAGGGCACTGCTGGGTTTTTTTCTGGGAAGCTCAGCTAAGGAATTTGCTTTTCATGATGCCCCAGAGGGTCCCCACAAAGTAATAAGTCAGCATCATTTTCTAGCTGCAGCTGATAACATTTATTGCTAATTCTTTAAACCTTTCTTTAAAAGAAAACAAGTCTCCAACCTGCATTGCACCCACAGGAATAATCTTTCTTTTCCTCAGTTTGGTAATTCAATTGTGACTTGTAAACTTGTGCAGCTGTAGCAAAAAAAAAAGTCTACAGTCAACTCTAATCTATCTTGAGGAGAGTAAGAAGTGCTTACCAGCACTGGTGTAGTAAATCCTGGCTGCTTTATTAAATAAATGTAGAATTTCACTCAGAAGCCTTAAGGAAGAAGAGTTTTAAAAGATCTGAGCAATTTAGCACGCTCTGAAGCTGAATGAAGATTGATTGAATTTCGGAGTGAGATATAAACTGATGCCAAACCAAATCCCACTTCAATTCACTTTGTGAGAAACGTGGCCGGTATTGATGTCCTCTGAATGGTGAGAGACAAACCAGGATCAGTCTTTCTGCCCCTGGATTATTTATGTATTTATGCAGAAAATGGTTTCTAGGTTCTCATTCTTTACCAGCA